TTCTTTATGGGTCTTTCTCAGAAATTTCTTTCTTTTCTTTTCTTTTTCTTTTTCTTTTTTTTTTAGTTTTTAGTTTGTTTAGCTCTGACTATTCTGGAGCTTGTTTTGTAGAATGGACTAGTCTCAAACTCACAGAGATTTGCCTGCGTCTGCCTCCCGGGGGCTGGGATTAAAGGTGTACACCCCCACCCCCGGCTCTCAGGGGTTTCTGTGTCTCATCCTGTATATATATATATATTTGTGAATTGGTCCCTCTGCTTGGGTGAAGACTGTTGGATTGGGGCCTGTCTCCATATCTCTAAAATAAGGTTGTGAATTCTTGCCCTCCAGGGTCGTTTGTCCAGGAGATGGGACCCTAAGCAGAGAAGTCAGCAGTACAGCGCATGGCATGCAGTGCTCTGCAGAAGTCTTTCTCTTAACTAGCGATGGTGGGGTTTCCTTCAGCGTGCAGCTTTCTCTTCCTCTTTGGGGAGTGTTTATGACAGGATATCATACATCTGGGTGTGTCTCCCTTCTATGACTCTCCAACCCCTTGCTTGGTTTTGAGTGTCAGGGCTTTCCCTCTGGTGGAGGTCTCTAATCCTAGCCATGAGTCATTATGTTCTTGGGGTGGGTACTGCTTGTCCCTGGCAGGTTAGTTAGGGCTTGTGGGTGCTGCAGTGCTGGAAGGTTCTGTCATTGAGGTCCCCCCAGATGCAGGTGCAGTTCCTTCTTCCACGCATATCCCCTTCTGCGTGCAGACTGTGCTAGTCAGGCCCACTGCTCTGTGCTCTTCTAGTGTAGGTCTTGTCTTCAGATCTGGTCCAATTCAGCCACTGAGACCCTAGACCTTGTCACTCAGAGTCTTTGTGTCGGTTCCTTTCACCTTGACATAGACATTGGCTCTGTGTAACTGCAGTAGCAATTGCCCCGAGCTCTCCTCTGCAGAGAGAAACGGGAAGGCCTAGTCCCCTGGTGACAAAGGGGAGAGAATGCTCTTCTGGAGGTCACCCTTGCCAGGAACTCTCTGCTTTTGGGCATCGTCTGGATCTGCTCAAGTGTGGCCCCTGTGGAAGCGGGCACAGGTAGAGCCTTGCTGCTGCATGGAATTTTGAGGTTCTGAGTTGCAGGATGGGGCGTTCTGTCATGGCATTTGGCCTGAACTGTGCCCTAGCCCCAAGTACTTTCTATTTTTTATCTAGAGCACCCTCACCGCCTCACTCCAAACAGCCTTCTGCCTCGGGGGTTCTCCACTCCAGCCCTGCTTCTCATCAGAAAGGATACCAAGGCCATCTCTTGGGCCACGGGAACGGAGCTAGCAGAGCTGAGTTACAGGGCTTTAACACTTCCCTATTAGCCTCTGTGTACCTTCCTTTCCCATATGTGAGTGGCAGCCAGTGCTGTCCTCTAGAATGTCACTGTAGGGGAATTTTTGCATATCCTTGCTGCCAGAAATGGCAGTGGTAGCCACACGTGGCTGCTAGGCACCTGTAATGTGGCTAGTGGAACTACATTTTTAACTTCAAACTGGGTGTGGCAGTACACCTTTGCAATCTCAGAACTCAGAAGGTAGAGGCAGAAGGATCAGGATGTTTAAGGTCATTCTCAGCTACACTGGAGAGATGGCTGGGGGTTGGGGGTGAGGACTATTTCAGAGACCCCAAGTTCGACACCTAGCATCCATGTTGGGCCATTGCAACCACCTGGAACTCCAGTTCCAGGGGAATTTGACACCTCTGGTCTCATGAGCACGTACACATACATATGAACATAAAAAATTAAAAATAATTTAAAATTGGGAGCAGCCTGGCATAGTAGTGCAGGCCTTTAATCTCAGCACTTGGGAGGCAAAGGCAGGCAGATCTCTGTGAGTTTGAGGACAACTTGGTCTACAAAGTGAGTTCTGGGACATGCAGAGCTACATAGTAAGAATTCATCTCCAGAAAAAAAAAAAAGGCACTGGTGACTCTAAGCTAGGCAGTGGAGGCACACATCTTTAATTCCAGCACTTGGTAGGCGGAGGCTGGCAGATCTCTGAGTTCAAGGCCGCCTGATCTACACAGTGAGTTCCAGGACAGCCAGGGCTACACAGAGAACTCCTGTCTCAAAAACAACAAAAAGAAATCGAGTTGTTTATTTATGTGTCCATGTGTGCCTGTGTGTGCCACATATGTGGAGGTGTGCAGAGAGGCTATAGGGCATAGGATCCTTGGAGCCGGACTTACTGGCTGGTGGTAGTGAGCCACCTGACAGGGCTGCTGGGAACTAACTCAGGTTCTCTGGAAGAGCAGCAAGCATTCTAAATTCACAAGGAGCCACCTCTCATCTGGTGGGGAAAATACCACTGTAGTTTAATTATCTGCCTAAAATTATTTTATTTTTGACTTCTGGAGACAGGTTCTCATGAAGCTCAGGTCACCATTAAACTCTAGATCTTCCTGCTTGCCCACTTGAGTGCTTGGATTATAGGTGTATAATCCGTTTAAATTTAAATTGCCACATGCGGCTACCATGTTAGTAGCACACATTTGTCTCCGTTCAAGCCCCAAAGGCTTGTGATGAGTGACTGAATTGTGAAGAATTCCCCCAACCTCCAAAGACCGTTTTTGGATTTCCCTGGAGGCCTGACTTAACCTAACCATGTGGGAGGAGAGGGAGGAGCATCTGGGTTTGCTACAGGTTCCACTGGTGGAGGGCAGACCAAGAGCTGGGGCCTAGAAGCAGAAAATTGGGCCATGGCCACCATGGCCTCACACCTCTCATGTGCATCCCACGTCTTCCGGGCCTAGATTTGAAGAGAAGGAAGCCCTTCCTGGCTGTGTCAGGATAACAGAGCTGTAGCATGAACCCAGTGGTTACTGTTCTCAGGGGTGGAGAACTTTTCAGAATTACTTCTCCTCTAAGTAGCCTACCGAGTGAAGCATACAGCGAGTTGGTCCTCAGCACTCTTTGCATCTAAAAGACCCTTGTCCTAGGGCTCAAGCTGGAAAAGGGGAGCTGTGGCAGGTCCTAGCCCCTCTGTTCCTTGGCGGCCTGGCCTAGGAGGCTTTGCATTGACTAGGTTTTAGGCGTGACCCTGTGCGTGTCTGGAACTGTTGCTTCAGACTGCAGTGACTCACCGTGGAAGGGGGGGTGGAGGGTGGGGCCCCCATGTGGGTGAGTGAGCTGGCTCTCTTTCTCCTCTGCTGGCTCAGCACCAGGCTGTTTAGCTGAGCAAGGGGCCCTGCACAAGGAGGAAGACAGGGAAACCTGAAGGGGTGGCTTCAGTTCTTAGGGGTCCAAGCTAGAGACTTTTGCTCTTCCTTCTTCTTAGGCTGGCTTCTCAGTGTTGGTCTGGGGCCGGGGCAGAAGGTGCCAGTTTCGAGTTGGGAAGAGTCAGTATGACTTTCCTCTTAATGTGGCCTCTTCTGCCTGCTCGGAAGGGAGGGGGTGTTTCCCTAGCTTAAGCCTGTGCCAGCGGGCCTCTCTCCCGTCTTTGCTCAGACTCTAGCCAGCACCTGTGTTGTCAAGTAGGCCCATGATAAATGCTGCATTTATGAGTTTGTTGAGTTTGAGAACAGGTGTGGTGATCTGGGGTTTATATTTGTGTTTCTATTTTATCCATGTTAGTATCTGCCTGAAACTGGACCTGCTAAGTGCCATGGGTTTCTAAGAGCCACAGTCCCATCCTAGAGGCTGATTCCAGAACCTTGGATGCCCCATTTATATTTCATTGCCCTGATAAGCCTCTTAAGATTTCTGGAACATTATGGAGCCCAGCTGGTCACACCCAGAGTCTCCTGCTTATCATTTGTGCCGGGACAGGACTCTAAGTCTTTTGAATTTCTGTATCCGGCACATGGCGTGCATTCAGTAAGTGTCTAGAGGATGCCTGAGTGACGGGAGGTAACAGCCCAATGCAGTGTACCATTAAGTGCTGGGCTGGGCTGTGTGCCCTGATTGGTATCCTTTATACTATCTAGTGCAGACTTGGGCATACAGGAGGTGCTCAGTATGCATACATTTATTGATTGGTTGACAAATTTCTGGATGTAAACAGTTTCAGGGTGGGGCTTTGGGTGAGGCTCACCACAATTTATAGAGTCCCTCATACAATTTCACAGGCATGCTTTAGATGGCTGCCAGTGCCATTTTGTGTGGGTGGCTGTAGTTGGTTCATCATTATATCTACCATCCTTCCGGGTGCCTTCCCAGGGTACCTCTGCAGCTGATAACTCATCTGGTGGCAAGGAGGAATGCCTTTACCTATGGAGTCTGGCTCAGGGCCTAGTGTGGGCAGCCAGATGGCCTTTGACTCACCATGGTCCTTGACTCACCACAGGTCTGAGTTGGGTTCAGCTTTGCTTCGGTCTTTTGGCTTTGGGAGTCTGGGAGAGTGGAATTGTCTTTTTTTAGGTCAGCTGGAAAGGGTTCCTTTTGGTCCCGAGGGCCAGGCTAGAGATGGTAAACTGAGTCACTGTCAGTGTGGTGGGGAACAGCAGCTTTGTGCTTGGAGAATGGTCTCACATTACCGAAGAGGTGAGACTCAATGTGGTATAAGGGAAAGACCCACAGAAACACAAGCTAGGGCATGGCATCGGCATTGTGTGCATTCCAGGCAAGCTGGCCTTTCAGAGTCTCAATCTCTCTGCTTGTAAGGTGGGACCAGCTATTCTAGAGAATGGTGAACTTGGGTTTGTTGTGGAACCTCCGTGGACCAGCTGCTGTCTTCTTTCAATCTGTATGGAACTCTTACCATTTCCACACTCACAGCCAAGGAAACAGGTTCAGAGAGGTCAAGTGTCCTTGGCAAGAGTCCTATAGCTAGGAGGATGCAGCCAGTGGTGGAGACCTGGTCTAGTTTCCTTTAGCTTCGTTTTCTGTGGCAACAGACCTCAGAGTCATGTAGTTGCTGGCTGTAGTAGGGACCTGACTGGAGTTTTGGCCTGGCCTGGGAAACGGCATCTCTCTATCATTTGGGTGGCAGCTCATGGAGGTTTTGAAAAGCCAAGTGTGAGCATCACGGTGAAAATTTTTCCTAGGTTGTGTGACTGAGTTTCCCAAAGAGAGAGAGACTGATAAAAGAAGAGAAGAAGGAGGGGCGGGCTCCTGGCAAGGCGTTCGCTCCTGAACAGAGTCCTGCAAAGGTCAGTAGGTGGGATGGTGCAGAGGGATGGGGGTTAGAATGGGGGACACTGGGTACTTGATGTAGCATTTGGAACTTTTCCTGGGTGGATCAAAGGGCCGGTTACCCCCTTTCTATACTCTTTATTGTGCATTGGGAGAACTTCCACAGTGGAAAAACATGATACAGATCACCCTCCTACCTGAGGAACCCCTCACTTGGCAGGTGAGCCAGGGTTGAGGGAGCAGGTGCATGGCGCTTGTTTTCCACTCTCTGGGTGTGCACAGCACCAAAGATTTCTGCCTTTCTCAGGCTTTTCTGCCCCCCGTATCTCCCGTGACCAGTGCTCTTGTGTTTTCGCCTCATCCCAGATGGAGAAGGAGGAGGAGACAACTCGGGAGCTGCTGCTGCCTAACTGGCAGGGCAGCGGCTCCCACGGACTGACCATTGCCCAGAGGGATGATGGAGTCTTTGTTCAGGAAGTGATGCAGAACTCCCCTGCGGCCCGCACTGGGGTGGTCAAAGAGGGTGAGTCTCTCCAAGATAGTGACTGGGCACTGGGGGGTGAGAGAGGTTACTAAAAGGAAGGACGGGAGGCTGGGGAGCAGGCAGAAATGCCCAAATGGCTGTGGAAGGCTTGGGTCCAACAACTTAAAGATGGTCAGTATCCAAGCCCTGTTCTTTTTTGCCTACTCTGTGTCTTGCTGGTGAATATGAGGGGAGGTAGTTATGAGGAGTCCTGGAGACCTTGTCTTCAGATCCGAGTCTTCTCCCTCACCAGCTCTGCAGCTTTGTGTAAAATAGTTGGCCTTTTGAGCCACAGTTTCCTCATCTGTACAAGGAATAGCCAATACCATGTCTGCATGGTATTCACAAAGCTAAAGGAAAGTCAGTTTTAGCGTCTGTTATGTGGTACTTTCTTGAGCCCTGCATGTCTTTTACCTAATTGTTGTACTTCCTTACTTAGGGGACCAGATTGTGGGTGCCACCATCTACTTTGACAACCTGCAGTCTGGTGAGGTGACCCAGCTGCTGAACACCATGGGGCACCACACTGTTGGCTTGAAGTTGCACCGTAAGGGGGACCGTTCCCCTGAGCCTGGACAGACCTGGACTCATGAAGTCTTCAGCTCCCGTAGCTCCGAGGTGGTGCTGGTGAGTTCCTGGTGACCCACCTTTGCTCTGAGCTTGCCATAATCCTGGTGGCCTCCTGGTCTCACTTCCTGAGCCTTCTGCTTGTGTCCTGAACCTCTGCTAATTCCATCTTCTTCTTTCATCTCTTTCTGACTTCTCTCTGCTGCTTTCTTCCTGCCTATGTTGTGGCCTGCGGCTGATTCTGTTCTTACAAGTATTGTGTTCTTTTGGTCTCTTGAGACTGTGCCATGGCTTGGGAACCAGCTCAGTGTTGGGGGCTTAGATGCCAAGGGGAAGGCCGACTGCTTTACTAGGGTTTTTGAAGCGCTTTCACTGGTGTTCAACCTGCCTCTCTACTTTCTGTGCGTGAGAAGATGAGCAGCGCAGGGCTCGTGGGAAAGGCTTCTTTACTCCTCATGGCTTGCTTATGGAATAAACCATGTGTCCTAATTGTGAAAGTATTCCCAAACACAGCCAGGCCTTCAGGCTTCACAAATGCTCCAGTATGCAAAGGCTCTTGGGAGACCTTAACCAAGCAAGTCTGCAAGTTGAGAGTTGAAGGATGAAGGGTCTGTTTGGGATGGGTCCCTGGAACAGGTTGATTTGAAGTACCAGAGTCTCTTCCTGGGAGCACAGTTCAGGAATCTATGACCTTTGCTTTCCAGAATTTTCTTCCAGATAGTTTCTCTTTTCCTCTTGTAATGTGACTGTCAGCCCCTTTCTTCAGTCCCCTGTGTTCTGTCCCAGGAGACTCTCTGGAACTCTGTTATGTTCTGAGCATCTTTGAGAAACAAGCAACCCTGTTGTTGGCTAGGCTGCGGCCAGGCATCTACCAACTCAGGTGGGCTTTGCTGCAACTTCTGCTGGGCCTGTCTTTCTGCAGAGCGGGGATGATGAAGACTACCAGCGCATCTACACCACAAAGATCAAGCCACGACTGAAGTCGGAGGATGGTGTAGAAGGGGACCTTGGGGAGACCCAGAGCCGTACCATCACGGTGACTAAAAGGGTCACAGCCTACACTGTGGATGTGACCGGTCGGGAAGGAGTGAAGGACATCGACATCAGCAGCCCTGAGTTCATGATCAAGATACCAAAGCACGAAGTGACTGAAATCGCCAACAAAGATGTAGAAATCCAGTCTGGGAAGACGGTGATCAGACTGCCCTCAGGATCGGGGGCAGTTTCTCCAACCCCTGGCTCTGCCATGGATATCCGGGCAGGGGCCATTTCTGCTTCAGGACCAGAGCTCGAAGGTGCTGGCCAATCAAAATTCCAGGTCACCGTACCTGGGATAAAGGTGGGAAGCCCCGGCGTCAATGTCAGTGCAAAAGGCTTGGACTTGGGTGGCAAAGGAGGGATCCAAGTTCCAGGGGTGGACATTTCGTCTTCTCTTGGGACTGGCTCAGTAGAGGTACAGGGTCCTTCCCTCCAGAGTGGTGATATTGGGAAAATTAAAATTCCAACCATGAAGATGCCAAAATTTGGTGTCTCAGCAGGCCCGGAGGGTCAGATACCAGAGGCAGGGCTGAGTGTTTCCGCACCTGAGTTCTCTGTGGGGCATAAAAGTGACAAGCCAGGTTTGGCCATTGGTGGGAGCATTCAGGCCCCTCACTTGGAAGTCAGTGCCCCTTCTGTCAATATTGAGGGCCTTGGGGGGAAGCTGAAGGGTCCCCAAATCAGTGGGCCATCACTCGAAAGTGACTTAGGTCTGAAAGGTACCAAGCTGCAGGGGAACATAGGAATGGATGCCTCTGCTTCCAAAATTGAGGGCAGCATCACTGGTCCCAGTGTGGAAGTTGGAACCCCTGATGTCGACATTCATGGGCTAGGAGGCAAACTGAATTTGCCCAAGATGAAAGTCCCTAAATTCTCTGCATCAGGTTCCAAGGGAGAGGGAGTTGGCGTTGATGTTACAGTGCCCACAGGTGAAGTGACCCTTCCTGGGGTCTCTGGGGATGTTAGTCAGCCTGAGATTGCTATTGGTGGGCTAGAAGGGAAGATAAAGGGTACTAAAGTCAAGACACCTGAAATGATTGTCCAGAAACCTAAAATCTCCATGCAGGATGTGGATCTGAGCCTTGGCTCTTGTAAACTGAAAGGCGATATGAAGGTGTCTGCTCCTGAGGTCAAAGGTGATGTTAAAGGCCCTCATGTGGGAGTTAAAGGCCCCAAAGTGGACATAGAGACACCAAACTTAGAGGGGACCTTGACAGGTCCCAAGCTCAGCAGTCCATCTGGAAAAATAGGGGCCTGTAGGATATCTATGGCAGATGTAGACCTAAATGTCGCTGCGCCTAAAGGGAAAGGGGGTGTAGATGTTGTGCTACCCAAAGTAGAAGGGAAAATCAAAGTCCCTGAACTTGATGTCCAAGGCCCCAAAATGGATATTAGTGCCCCAGATGTGGAAGTGCATGGCCCAGAATGGAACTTGAAAACGCCCAAGATGAAGATGCCCAAGTTCAGTGTCCCAGGGGTCAAAGGAGAAGGCCCAGATGTAGATGTGGCTCTACCGAAAGGAGACATCAGTATTTCAGGGCCTAAGGTCAACATAGAAGCCCCAAGTGCCAACATGGAGAGTCTGGGGGGCAAACTTAAAGGTCCTGATATTGATCTTCCTGAAGTGAGTGTCAAGACTCCAAAGGTTTCCATACCTGATGTAGATCTGCACATCAAAGGCGCAAAGGTGAAGGGAGAGTGTGATGTCACAACACCAAAGCTTGAGGGTGACCTGAAAGGCCTCCAAGTGGGTGCTGATGCCCCAGAAGTGAATGTTCATGGCCCAGACCTGAAGATACCCAAGATGAAGATGCCCAAATTCAGTGTGCCAGGGTTCAAAGCAGAGGGCCCAGAAGTGGATGTGAATCTGCCCAAGGCAGATATGGACATTTCTGGGCCTAAGGTGGAGGTCAGTGCTCCAGATGTGAGCATTGAGGGACCAGAAGGGAAACTGAAAGGACCTAAGTTTAAAATGCCTGAAATGAATATCAGAGCTCCAAAGATCTCCATGCCAGATGTGGACTTACACTTAAAAGGCCCCAGTGTAAAGGGAGAATATGATGTCACCGTGCCAAGGCCTGAAGGTGAGATTAAAGTTCCTGATGTTGAACTTAAAAGTGCCAAACTGGACATTGATGCCCCGAATATGGATGTTCAAGGTCCCGAATGGCACATGAAGATGCCAAAGATAAAAATGCCCAAGTTTGGTATGCCAGGCTTCAAGGCAGAGAGTCCAGATGTGGAGGTGAATCTCCCTAAGGCCAACATTGATGTCTCAGGACCCAAGGTAGATGTCAAAGCACCAGATGTGAACATTGAAGGACCTGAAGGAAAACTGAAGGGTCCTAAGCTGAAGACGCCTGAGATGAATATAAAGGCCCCAAAGATCTCCATGCCTGATGTAGATTTGCATATGAAAGGCCCCAAGGTAAAAGGAGAGTATGATGTCACAATGCCAAAGATTGAAGGAGACTTGAAAGGCCCCAAAGTAGATGTCAGTGCTCCAGATGTTGACATTCAGAGTCCTGATTGGAACTTGAAAATGCCAAAGATTAAAATGCCCAAATTTAGCATGCCTAGTCTCAAAGGAGAAGGCCCAGAGTTGGATGTGAACATGCCCAAGGCTGATATGGACATTTCTGTACCAAAACTAGATATTAGTGCTCCAGATTTGAACCTTGAAGGACCGGAAGGGAAGTTGAAAGGCCCCAAGTTTAAGATGCCTGAGATGCATTTCAAGGCTCCAAAGGTGTCTCTACCAGATGTGGACCTGGACCTCAAAGGACCCAAAATGAAAGGAAATCTAGACATGACAGCACCAAAAATAGAGGGAGAGATGAAAGTACCAGATGTGGACATCAAAGGTCCGAAGGTAGATATTAAATCACCAGATGGGGAAGGTCAGGGCCCAGACTGGAGCCTGAAAATGCCAAAGATGAAAATGCCTAAGTTCAGTATGCCTACTCTCAAAGGTGAGGGTCCAGATGTGGATGTGAACCTGCCTAAGGCTGACATTGATGTCTCAGTACCCAAGGTTGACATTGAAGGCCCTGATGTGAGCATTGAAGGACCAGAAGGAAAGTTGAAAGGTCCTAAGTTCAAGATGCCTGAGATGAACATCAAGGCCCCCAAGATTTCCATGCCTGATGTGGACTTAAACTTGAAAGGCCCCAAAGTCAAGGGGGATGTGGATGTGACAGTGCCCAAGCTAGAAGGTGAAATGAAAGTGCCAGATGTGGACATCAAAGGCCCCAAAGTGGACATTGATGCTCCAGATGTGGATGTTCATGGTCCAGACTGGCACCTGAAGATGCCCAAGATGAAAATGCCCAAGTTCAGCATGCCTGGCTTCAAAGCAGAAGGCCCAGAAGTGGATGTGAACCTGCCAAAGGCTGACATTGATATCTCAGGACCCAAGGTGGATGTTGAAGTTCCTGATGTGAGCATTGAAGGGCCAGAAGGAAAGCTGAAAGGCCCCAAGTTTAAGATGCCTGACATGCACTTCAAGGCTCCTAAGATCTCCATGCCTGATGTGGACTTGAATATTAAGGGGCCCAAAGGAAAAGCAGATGTGGATGTATCATTGCCTGATGTAGAAGGTGAAATAAAAGTTCCAGATGTGGATGTTAAAGGGCCCAAAGTTGGCATTGATGCTCCAGACGTTGAAGTTCATGGCCCAGACTGGCACCTTAAGATGCCTAAAATGAAAATGCCCAAGTTCAGTATGCCTGGTTTCAAAGGAGAAGGCCCAGAAGTTGACATCCCTAAGGCCAACATCGATGTCTCAGGACCCAAGGTAGACATTAATGTTCCAGATGTAAATATTGAAGGTCCAGATACAAAACTAAAAGGGCCAAAATTTAAGATGCCAGAAATGAATATAAAGCCTCAGAAGATATCCATGCCAGATGTTAGCTTGAATTTGAAAGGCCCTAAAGTGAAAGGAGACTATGATGTTCCAAAAGTGGGAGGAGAAATGAAAGCTCCTGCTGTTGATATTAAAGGCCCCCAAGTAGATGTACCAGATGTGGATGTTCACGGCCCAGACTGGCACCTGAAGATGCCCAAGGTGAAAATGCCCAAGTTCAGCATGCCTGGCTTCAAAGGAGAGGGCCCTGAAGTGGATGTAAATCTTCAAAAGGCCAACATTGATGTCTCAGGACCCAAAGTGAACATTGATGTTCCAGATGTGAATATTGAAGCTCCAGAAGGGAAACTAAAGGGCCCCAAGTTCAAGATGCCGAGCATGAATATACAGACACACAAAATCTCTATGCCTGATGTTGGTCTTAATCTGAAAGGACCTAAACTGAAAAGTGATGCAGATGTTTCTCTTCCAAAAGTGGAAGGAAATTTGAAAGGTCCTGAAGTTGATGTTAAAGTCCCTAAGGTGGATGTGGATGTTGGTGATATTGATATTGAATGTCCAGAAGGGAAGTTGAAGGGTCCCAAGTTTAAGATGCCTGACATGCACTTCAAGACTCCTAAGATCTCCATGCCTGATGTGGACTTAAACTTGAAAGGCCCCAAAGTCAAGGGGGATGTGGATGTGGCAGTGCCCAAGCTAGAAGGTGAAATGAAAGTGCCAGATGTGGACATCAAAGGACCCAAAGTGGACATCAGTGCTCCAGATGTGGATGTTCATGGGCCAGATTGGCACCTGAAGATGCCCAAGGTGAAAATGCCCAAGTTTAGCATGCCTGGCTTCAAAGCAGAAGGCCCTGAAATGGATGTAGACCTACCCAAGGCTGACATTGATGTCTCAGGGCCAAAGATGGACATTGATGTTCCAGATGTGAATATAGAAGGTCCTGATGCAAAACTGAAAGGCTCCAAATTTAAGATGCCCAAGTTCAATATTAAGGCTCCCAAGATCTCCATGCCAGATGTGGACTTGAATTTGAAGGGGCCCAAACTGAAAGGAGAGATAGATGCTTCTGTGCCAGAAATGGAAGCTGATCTCAGAGGTCCTAAAGTTGATATCAAAGGCCCCAGCGTAGATGTGGAAGTGCCTGATGTTGACCTGGAATGTCCTGAGGCAAAGTTGAAGGGCCCCAAGTTTAAGATGCCTGACATGCACTTCAAGACCCCTAAGATCTCCATGCCTGATGTGGACTTACATTTGAAAGGCCCCAAAGTCAAAGGGGATCTCGACGTGACAGTGCCCAAGCTAGAAGGAGAATTAAAAGGTCCCAGTGTGGATGTGGAAGTACCTGATGTTGACCTGGAATGTCCTGATGCAAAGTTGAAGGGTCCCAAGTTTAAGATGCCTGACATGCACTTCAAGGCCCCTAAGATCTCCATGCCTGATGTGGACTTAAACTTGAAAGGCCCCAAAGTCAAGGGGGATGTGGATGTGACAGTGCCCAAGCTAGAAGGTGAAATGAAAGTGCCAGATGTGGACATCAAAGGACCCAAAGTGGACATCAGTGCTCCAGATGTGGATGTTCATGGGCCAGATTGGCACCTGAAGATGCCCAAGATGAAAATGCCCAAGTTTAGCATGCCTGGCTTCAAAGCAGAAGGCCCTGAAATGGATGTAGACCTACCCAAGGCTGACATTGATATCTCAGGACCCAAGGTGGATGTTGAAGTTCCTGATGTGAGCATTGAAGGGCCAGAAGGAAAGCTGAAAGGCCCCAAGTTTAAGATGCCTGACATGCACTTCAAGGCTCCCAAGATCTCCATGCCTGATGTGGACCTGCACTTGAAAGGCCCTAAGGTCAAAGGGGATATGGATGTGACTGTTCCAAAACTGGAAGGAGATTTGAAAGGCCCCAATGTGAATGTAGAAGTACCTGATGTTGACCTGGAATGTCCTGAGGCAAAGTTGAAGGGCCCCAAGTTTAAGATGCCTGACATGCACTTCAAGACCCCTAAGATCTCCATGCCTGATGTGGACTTACATTTGAAAGGCCCCAAAGTCAAAGGGGATCTCAATGTGACAGTGCCAAAACTAGAAGGAGAATTAAAAGGTCCCAGCGTGGATGTGGAAGCACCTGATGTTGACCTGGAATGTCCTGAGGCAAAGTTGAAGGGTCCCAAGTTTAAGATGCCTGACATGCACTTCAAGACTCCTAAGATCTCCATGCCTGATGTGGACTTAAACTTGAAAGGCCCCAAAGTCAAGGGGGATGTGGACGTGTCCCTGCCCAAAGTGGAAGGTGAAATGAAAGTGCCAGATGTGGACATCAAAGGACCCAAAGTGGACATCAGTGCTCCAGATGTGGATGTTCATGGGCCAGATTGGCACCTGAAGATGCCCAAGATGAAAATGCCCAAGTTCAGCATGCCTGGCTTCAAAGCAGAAGGCCCAGAAGTGGATGTGAACCTGCCAAAGGCTGACATTGATATCTCAGGACCCAAGGTGGACATTGAAGGCCCTGATGTGAGCATTGAAGGGCCAGAAGGAAAGCTGAAAGGCCCCAAGTTTAAGATGCCTGACATGCACTTCAAGGCTCCTAAGATCTCCATGCCTGACGTTGATTTCAACTTAAAGGGTTCTAAAATCAAAGGAGATATTGATGTTTCAGTCCCAAAACTTGAGGGAGACTTAAAGGGTCCAGAACTGGAAGTCAAGGGCCCCAAATTGGATGTCGACATGCCAGAAGTAGCTGTGGAAGGCCCAGAAGGTAAATGGAAAAGTCCTAAATTCAAGATGCCAGACATGCACTTTAAAGCTCCCAAAATCTCCATGCCAGACATTGATCTTCACTTAAAGAGTCCAAAGATAAAGGGTGAGGTTGATGTAGATGTTCCCAAATTGGAAGGAGACCTCAAAGGGCCAAATGTGGACCTAAGTGGACCAGACATTGAGATTGAAGGACCAGAAGGTAAACTGAAGGGTCCTAAGTTCAAGATGCCAGAGATGAACATCAAGGCTCCCAAGATCTCCATGCCTGATTTGCATCTCAAGGGTCCCAAACTAAAGGGTGATGTCGATGTTTCCCTGCCCAAAGTAGAAGGTGACCTCAAGGGCCCTGAAGTTGACATCAAAGGCCCCAAAATGGACATTAATGCTCCAGATGTTGATGTTCATGGTCCAGACTGGCACCTGAAGATGCCCAAGATGAAAATGCCCAAGTTCAGCATGCCTGGCTTCAAGGCAGAAGGCCCAGAAGTGGATGTGAACCTGCCAAAGGCTGACATTGATGTCTCAGGACCCAAGGTGGACATTGAAGGCCCTGATGTGAGCATTGAAGGACCAGAAGGAAAGTTGAAAGGTCCTAAGTTTAAGATGCCTGAGATGAACATCAAAGCCCCCAAGATCTCCATGCCAGACATTGATCTTAACCTGAAAGGCCCCAAAGTGAAGGGTGATGTGGACGTGTCCCTTCCCAAAGTGGAAGGTGAGATTAAAGTTCCTGAAGTTGACATCAAAGGCCCCAAAGTGGACATTGATGCCCCAGATGTGGATGTTCATGGTCCAGACTGGCACCTGAAGATGCCCAAAATAAAAATGCCCAAGTTCAGCATGCCTGGCTTCAAGGGAGAGGGCCCTGAAGTAGATGTGAGCTTGCCGAAGGCTGACATTGATGTCTCAGGACCCAAGGTGGACATTGATGTTCCAGATGTGAATATTGAAGGTCCTGATGCAAAACTGAAGGGTCCTAAGTTCAAGATGCCAGAGATGAACATCAAGGCTCCCAAGATCTCCATGCCTGATTTGCATCTCAAGGGTCCCAAACTAAAGGGAGATGTGGATGTTTCCCTGCCCAACGTAGAAGGTGACCTCAAGGGCCCTGAAGTTGACATCAAAGGCCCCAAAATGGACATTAATGCTCCAGATGTTGATGTTCATGGTCCAGACTGGCACCTGAAGATGCCCAAGGTGAAAATGCCCAAGTTCAGCATGCCTGGCTTCAAATCAGAAGGCCCAGAAGTGGATATAAACTTGCCAAAGGCTGACATTGATGTCTCAGGACCCAAGGTGGACATTGAAGGCCCTGATGTGAGCATTGACGGACCAGAAGGAAAGTTGAAAGGTCCTAAGTTTAAGATGCCTGAGATGAACATCAAAGCCCCCAAGATCTCCATGCCAGACATTGATCTTAACCTGAAAGGCCCCAAAGTGAAGGGTGATGTGGACGTGTCCCTTCCCAAAGTGGAAGGTGAGATTAAAGTTCCTGAAGTTGACATCAAAGGCCCCAAAGTGGACATTGATGCTCCAGATGTGGATGTTCATGGTCCAGACTGGCACCTGAAGATGCCCAAAATAAAAATGCCCAAGTTCAGCATGCCTGGATTCAAGGGAGAAGGTCCTGAGGTAGATGTGAGCCTGCCGAAGGCTGACATTGATGTCTCAGGACCCAAGGTGGACATTGATGTTCCAGATGTGAATATAGAAGGTCCTGATGCAAAACTGAAGGGTCCTAAGTTCAAGATGCCAGAGGTGAACATCAAAGCTCCTAAGATCTCAATGCCAGATTTGGACCTTAACATTAAAGGCCCCAAAGTGAAAGGAGATGTGGATGTTTCACTTCCAAGTTTTGAAGGTGATTTGAAAGGGCCTTCTCTTGACATAAAGGACCCAAAATTAGATCTAAATGCTCCAGATGTTGACATTCATGGTCCTGGGGGCAAATTAAAAGGCCCCAAACTGAAAATGCCTGACATGCATGTCAACATGCCCAAGATCTCTATGCCTGAAATTGACTTGAATTTAAAGGGCTCAAAGCTTAAGGGAGATGTTGATATCTCTGGACCCAAACTGGAGGGTGAAATTAAAACTCCCAAGTTAGATGTGAAGGGCCCAGAAGTGGACATTTCTGCTCCCAAGGTTAATATTGAAGGGAAATCAAAGAAATCTCGTTTTAAGCTCCCTAAATTTAATTTTTCTGGATCCAAAGTTCAGACACCTGACATGGATGTCAAAGTTAAAAAGCCAGATGTTGATGTAACAGCTCCAAAAGTTGACATTAATGCTCCAGAAGTTGAAGTACAAGGCAAAGTGAAAGGATCCAAATTTAAAATGCCTTTCCTGAGTATTTCATCTCCCAAAGTTTCTATGCCTGATGTGGAGCTAAATTTGAAAGGTCCTAAGGTCAAAGGAGACTTAGATGTAGCAGGCCCAAATTTAGAAGGAGACTTTAAAAGCCCTAAAGTGGACATTAAAGCACCAGAGGTTCATATTAATGCACCTGATGTGGACGTTCATGGTCCAGAATGGAATCTGAAGATGCCCAAGATGAAAATGCCCAAGTTCAGTGTGTCTGGCATAAAAGCAGAAGGACCTGATGTGGCTATGGATTTACCAAAAGGAGACATCAATCTAGAAGGTCCCAGTATGAATATCGAGGGCCCAGAACTCAATGTAGAGTGTCCAGAGGGAAGCTTAAAAGGCCCCAAATTTAAGATGCCTGAGATGAACATCAAAGCCCCCAAGATCTCTATGCCTGACATTGACTTAAACCTGAAAGGTCCCAAGGTAAAAGGTGATGTAGATGTATCTCTTCCCAAACTTGAAGGAGATCTTAAAGGGCCAAAAGTTGACATCAAAGGCCCCAAAGTGGACATTGATGCTCCAGATGTGGATGTTCATGGACCAGATTTGCACCTGAAGATGCCCAAAGTGAAAATGCCCAAGTTCAGCATGCCTGGATTCAAGGGAGAGGGCCCTGAAGTGGATGTTAATTTGCCCAAAGCTGACATTGATGTCTCAGGACCCAAGGTGGACATTGATGTTCCAGATGTGAATATTGAAGGTCCTGATGCAAAACTGAAGGGTCCTAAGTTCAAGATGCCAGATTTGAACATCAAGGCTCCCAAGATCTCCATGCCTGACATTGATCTGAATCTTAAAGGCCCCAAATTGAAGGGTGATGTGGATGTGTCCTTGCCCAAAGTAGAAGGTGACCTCAAGTGTCCAGAGGTGGATATTACTGGCCCTAAAGTGAACATTGACATTCCTGAAGTTAGCATTGAAGGTCCAGAGGGCAAACTGAAAGGCCCCAAGTTTAAGATGCCCGAGATGAACATCAAAGCCCCCAAGATCTCCATGCCAGACATTGATCTTAACCTGAAAGGCCCTAAAGTGAAGGGTGATGTGGACGTGTCCCTTCCCAAAGTGGAAGGTGAGATTAAAGTTCCTGAAGTTGACATCAAAGGCCCCAAAGTGGACATTGATGCCCCAGATGTGGATGTTCATGGTCCAGACTGGCACCTGAAGATGCCCAAGATGAAAATGCCCAAGTTCAGCATGCCTGGATTCAAGGGAGAAGGTCCTGAGGTAGATGTGAGCCTGCCGAAGGCTGACATTGATGTCTCAGGACCCAAGGTAGACATTGATGTTCCAGATGTGAATATTGAAGGTCCTGATGCAAAACTGAGGGGTCCTAAGTTCAAGATGCCAGAGATGAACATCAAGGCTCCCAAGATCTCCATGCCTGATTTGCATCTCAAGGGTCCCAAACTAAAGGGAGATGTGGATGTTTCCCTGCCCAACGTAGAAGGTGACCTCAAGGGCCCTGAAGTTGACATCAAAGGCCCCAAAATGGACATTAATGCTCCAGATGTTGATGTTCATGGTCCAGACTGGCACCTGAAGATGCCCAAGGTGAAAATGCCCAAGTTCAGCATGCCTGGCTTCAAGGCAGAAGGCCCAGAAGTGGATGTGAACTTGCCGAAGGCTGACATTGATGTCTCAGGACCCAAGGTGGACATTGAAGGCCCTGATGTGAGCATTGAAGGACCAGAAGGAAAGTTGAAAGGTCCTAAGTTTAAGATGCCTGAGATGAACATCAAAGCCCCCAAGATCTCCATGCCAGACATTGATCTTAACCTGAAAGGCCCTAAAGTGAAGGGTGATGTGGACGTGTCCCTTCCCAAAGTGGAAGGTGAGATTAAAGTTCCTGAAGTTGACATCAAAGGCCCCAACGTGGACATCAATGCTCCAGATGTAGATGTTCGTGGTCCAGACTGGCACCTGAAGATGCCCAAAATAAAAATGCCCAAGTTCAGCATGCCTGGCTTCAAGGGAGAGGGTCCTGAAGTAGATGTGAACCTGCCAAAATCTGACATTGATGTCTCAGGACCCAAGGTGGACATTGATGTTCCAGATGTGAATATTGAAGGTCCTGATGCAAAACTGAAGGGTCCTAAGTTCAAGATGCCAGAGATGAACATCAAGGCTCCCAAGATCTCCATGCCTGATTTGCATCTCAAGGGTCCCAAACTAAAGGGAGATGTGGATGTTTCCCTGCCCAACGTAGAAGGTGACCTCAAGGGCCCTGAAGTTGACATCAAAGGCCCCAAAATGGACATTAATGCTCCAGATGTTGATGTTCATGGTCCAGACTGGCACCTGAAGATGCCCAAGGTGAAAATGCCCAAGTTCAGCATGCCTGGTTTCAAGGGAGAGGGCCCTGAAGTAGATGTGAACCTTCCTAAAGCTGACATTGATGTCTCAGGAGCCAAGGTAGACATCGACACTCCTGACATTGACATTCATGGTCCAGAAGGGAAGCTGAAGGGCCCCAAGTTCAAAATGCCTGACCTTCACCTCAAGGCACCCAAGATCTCAATGCCAGAAGTTGACTTGAACCTGAAAGGGCCAAAGGTGAAGAGTGATGTAGATGTTTCTCTGCCCAAAGTGGAAGGAGAGATTAAAGTTCCTGAAGTTGACATCAAAGGCCCCAAAGTGGACATCAATGCTCCAGATGTTGATGTTCACGGTCCAGACTGGCACCTGAAGATGCCCAAGGTGAAAATGCCCAAGTTCAGCATGCCTGGCTTCAAGGGAGAGGGCCCTGAAGTGGATGTGAAGCTGCCGAAGGCTGACATTGATGTCTCAGGACCCAAGGTAGACATTGATGTTCCAGATGTGAATATTGAAGGTCCTGATGCAAAACTGAAGGGTCCCAAGTTCAAGATGCCAGAGATGAACATCAAGGCTCCCAAGATCTCCATGCCTGACCTTGATTTGCACTTGAAAGGGCCTAAACTGAAGGGAGATGTGGATGCTTCCTTGCCTAAAATGGAAGGTGAACTAAAAGGCCCTGCTATTGATATAAAGGGTCCCAGTGTGGATATCGATACTCCTGACATCAATATTGATGGTCCAGAAGGGAAATTAAAGGGTCCCAAATTTAAAATACCAGATATGCACATCAAAGCTCCCAAGATTTCCATGCCTGACTTTGACTTAAACCTTAAAGGACCCAAGGTAAAAGGAGATGTGGACCTTGCACTACCTAAGATGGAAGGTGATCTCAAAGGGCCAGAGATAGACATTGAGGGTCCTGAAGGAAAGCTCAAAGGTCCCAAATTTAAGATGCCAGATGTCCATTTTAAGACCCCTCAAATTTCAATGAGTGACATTGATTTGAACATGAAAGGACCTAAAATAAGGGGAGATTTGGACATAGAAGGGGATTTGAAAGGTCCCAAACTGGATGTCAAAGGCCCTAAACTGGACATTGACACTCCTGACATTGACATTCATGGTCCAGAAGGGAAGCTGAAGGGCCCCAAGTTCAAAATGCCTGATCTCCACCTCAAGGCACCCAAGATCTCAATGCCAGAAGTTGACTTGAACCTGAAAGGGCCGAAGGTGAAGGGTGATGTAGATGTTTCTCTGCCCAAAGTGGAAGGAGACCTCAAAGGCCCTGAAGTTGACATCAAAGGTCCCAAAGTGGACATCAGTGCTCCAGATGTGGACGTTCATGGTCCAGACTGGCACCTGAAGATGCCCAAGGTGAAAATGCCCAAGTTCAGCATGCCTGGCTTCAAGGGAGAGGGCCCTGAAGTGGATGTGAACCTGCCAAAGGCTGACATTGATGTCTCAGGACCCAAGGTGGACATTGATGTTCCAGATGTGAATATTGAAGGTCCTGATGCAAAACTGAAGGGTCCTAAGTTCAAGATGCCAGAGATGAACATCAAGGCTCCCAAGATCTCCATGCCTGATTTGCATCTCAAGGGTCCCAAACTAAAGGGAGATGTGGATGTTTCCCTGCCCAAAGTAGAAGGTGACCTCAAGGGCCCGGAAATTGATATCAAAGGACCTAATGTAGACATTGATGTTCCAGATGTAAATATTGAAGGTCCTGATGCAAAACTGAAGGGATCTAAGTTCAAAATGCCAGAGATTAACATCAAAGCCCCCAAGATCTCCATGCCAGACATTGATCTTAACCTGAAAGGCCCTAAAGTGAAGGGCGATGTGGACGTGTCCCTGCCCAAAGTGGAAGGTGAGATTAAAGTTCCTGAAGTTGACATCAAAGGCCCCAAAGTGGACATCAATGCTCCAGATGTGGATGTTCATGGTCCAGACTGGCACCTGAAGATGCCCAAGGTGAAAATGCCCAAGTTCAGCATGCCTGGCTTCAAGGGAGAAGGCCCTGAAGTAGATGTGAGCCTGCCGAAGGCTGACATTGATGTCTCAGGACCCAAGGTGGACATTGATGTTCCAGATGTGAATATTGAAGGTCCTGATGCAAAATTGAAGGGTCCTAAATTCAAGATGCCGGAGATTAGCATCAAGGCTCCAAAGGTATCTATGCCTGATGTGGATCTGGAGTTAAAAGGACCCAAAGTAAAAGGAGACTTTGACGTGTCTGTTCCCACGATTGAAGGTAGTCTCAAAGGACCTGAAGTAGACCTGAAAGGTCCAAGTCTAGATTTTGAAGGCCCTGATGCTAAACTCAGTGGCCCTAACTTGAAGATGCCATCACTGGATGTATCTGCTCCTAAAATAACTGGACCTGATGTTAATGTGCACCTCAAGACACCAAAAATTGGTGTTTCTGGGCCTAAGTTAGGAGGTGGTGAAGTGGACCTTAAAGGACCCAAAGTTGATTTAGAAACTCCAAGTTTAGACGTCCGCATGGAGAGCCCAGATATTAATATCGAGGGTCCAGATGTTAAAGTTCCAAAGTTTAAGAAACCCAAGTTTGGATTTGGTGCAAAAAGCGCTAAAGCTGACATCAAGACACCCTCAGTTGATGTGACTGTCCCTGAAGCAGAGCTGAGTGTTGAGACCCCTGATGTAAGCCTTGGTGGAAAGGGCAAGAAAAGCAAGTTTAAAATGCCTAAAATTCACATGAGTGGCCCTAAAGTTAAGGCCAAAAAGCAAGGATTTGATTTGAACGTTCCTGGAGGTGAGATTGATGCCAGTCTGAAGGGTCCTGATGTGGATATCGGTGTTGCAGGGCCTGATGCTGCACTCAAAGTTGATGTAAAGTCTCCAAAAGCCAAGAAAACCATGTTTGGGAAAATGTACTTCCCAGATGTAGAATTTGACATCAAGTCACCTAAATTTAAAGCAGAGGCTTCCCTACCCAGCCCTAAGTTGGAGGGTGACATCAAGGTACCAGATCTGGACATTTCTTCACCAGGGGTTAATGTGGAAGCTCCTGACATCCATGTGAAGGCTCCCAAGTTCAAGGTGCCAGGTGTGGATGTCTCAGGGCCAAAGTTAGAGGGCAACTTGAAAGGTCCTAAGGTGCAGGCAAACTTGGAGACACCTAACATCAACATCAAAGGCTCTGATGCCAAAATCAAAGCACCCTCATTCAGTGTGTCTGCTCCTCAAGTCTCCATACCTGATGTGAATGTTAAGTTGACAGGACCAAAGATAAAGGGTGATGCCCCCAGTGTGGGTCTGGAAGGACCTGATGTCGATTTGCAAGGTCCAGAAGGAAAAATCAAGTTCCCCAAGTTTTCACTGCCCAAGATCAGTGCCCCTGGTCTTGAAGGAAGCTTGAGCACATCAGATGTTAAGTTTGAAGGGCCTGATATATCTCTTAAAGGCCCAGGAGTAGACTTGCCTTCGGTGGACCTCTCTATGCCAAAAATTTCTGGGCCTGATGTTGACCTGAACTTGAAAGGACCAAGTCTGAAGGGAGACCTGGATGCATCCAGTCCCAGCATGAAGCTGCACGCCCCAGGTCTTGACCTCAAAGGTGTTGGTGGAAAAGTACAGATAGGAGGAGATGGTGTGAAAGTCCCGGGGATTGATGCCACAGCAGCCCTTAATGTGGGGGCACCTGATGTGACCCTGAAGGGACCAAGCCTACAGGGAGATTTGACCATGTCTGGGGACATCAAGTGCCCTAAACTATCTGCGGGCGCCCCGGATCTCAGCTTGGAGGCCTCAGAAGGTAGCGTCAAATTTCCCCACATGAAGCTGCCTCAGTTTGGCATCTCTGCTCCAGGGTCCGACTTGGACGTTAACATCAAGGGGCCACAAGTTTGTGGAGAACTGAAGGGGCCAGGGATGGATGTGAACCTGAAGGGGCCCCAGATCTCAGCACCAAACATGGACTTTAACTTGGAAGGACCAAAAGTGAAGGGGAGCCTTGGGGCCACTGGAGAACTGAAAGGCCCAGCAGTTGGGGGAAGCCTTCCAGGTGTCAGTGTTCAGGGCCTAGAAGGAAATCTCCAAATGCCTGGATTTAAGGCTTCTGGATGCGATGTGCAACTCCCAACGGGGCAGCTTTCTGGTCCTGAAATTAAAGGAGATCTGAAAGGTTCAGGAATAGGTCTCCATGGGGCTGTCCCTGATATCAGTGTCAAGGGGCCTTCCTTTAACATGGCATCTCCAGAGTCAGATTTTGGTGTCAGCTTGAAGGGCCCCAAAGTCAAAGGAGGTGTAGATGTTTCAGGGGGTGTCACTGTCCCAGATATCAACCTGGGTGAAGGGCATATGAATGTCAAAGACTCTGGGGTTGAGTGGAAGGGACCCCAAGTCTCCTCCTCTCTAAACCTGGATACATCTAAACTTGCTGGGAACCTTCATTTCTCAGGACCAAAGATAGAAGGAGGCATGAAAGGAGGCCAGACTGGACTCCAGGGTCCAGGGCTGAGTGTGTCTGGGCCTCAAGGTCACTTGGAAAGTGGATCTGGAAAAGTAACATTCCCCAAGATGAAGATCCCCAAATTTGCCTTCTCTGGCCGCGAGCTTGTTGGCAGAGAAGTAGGGGTGGATGTCAACTTCCCTAAAGTAGAGGCCAATGTGCAGGCTGGTGCAGGAGAAGACGAATGGGAAGAGTCAGAAGTAAAACTTAAAAAATCCAAAATCAAAATGCCCAAGTTTAACTTTTCCAAACCTAAAGGGAAAGGTGGTGCCACCGGCTCACCAGAAGCATCCATTTCTGGGTCCAAAGGGGACCTGAAGAGCTCAAAGGCCAGCTTGGGCTCTCTGGAAGGAGAAGCAGATGCTGAAGCATCGTCACCAAAAGGCAAATTCTCGCTGTTTAAAAGTAAGAAGCCAAGACACCGCTCCAACTCCTTCAGCGATGAGAGGGAGTTCTCGGCGCCTTCCACCCCAACCGGGACTTTGGAGTATGCAGGTGGAGAAGTTAAAAGCAAACACGGGAAGCTGAAATTTGGTACCTTCGGTGGGTTGGGGTCAAAGAGCAAAGGTCATTATGAGGTGACTGGGAGTGATGATGAGGCAGCCAAGTTACAGGGGAGTGGAGTGTCTTTGGCCTCAAAGAAGTCCCGACTGTCTTCCTCTTCTAGCAACGACAGTGGGACGAAGGTTGGCATCCAGCTTCCTGAGGTAGAACTCTCAATTTCCACAAAGAAAGAGTAGTGGGCCTTGTATGTGTGTACATATATATAAATACATCAGCCTTGGGTGTGTTTGTATATAAACTCCAAAGAGAAACACCCCAACAGCCTCAGCAATAATGCAAAGATCTTGCCTCTCCCAGTGGCAAGTGCTGACAAACCGAGTGCCTCTAGGCTCCTGGGACTCTGCAGCTAGGTAAAGAGTTCTAAATTCATCTGGCCCGTGTGCGAAGTCAACAGTATTTGCCTTAAGATTTTAGTTTTTTTGGTTTCTTCTTCATATTTTTTTTTTGCATTGAACGCTGAGAGCTCGTGTTTACTAAGCAAGCTTTTGTGTTTACCCTTATTTTTACTGAACATTGTTAGTACCTGGGTAATGGAAACCCACTTTCTTTTCATTGTAATGACTTTGGGGGCTTTTGTGAGTAAGGGAAGGTGGGATAAAAGGTGGCAGAGGGGTCTAGGTCGTCATTGCTCTGAAGGTTGGATATGTACAAATAGCAACACCCTGGTATGGCTCAGAGGAGGTGGCAGCCAGGAGGTGGGTGTTTCTCAATTCTCTGTAGCATGACTTTTAATCCCTAGGTGTGTTAGTCCCAGCCTAGTTTGGTGCTCAAGGTGAGAGGGGGATTTAAATCTGTCTGCAAATTGTCCAACCTGCCAGGTCAGTGTGAGGGGCTTCCATTCTGGGTTTGGTAAGAAAGTGTTCATTCGTGACTGCCGTGTTCTGAGAAAAGTTCTGATTCCTTTTAACAAATGTCATCATGATTAAGGAAATGTCTGGCACTTTAATGGAAAATTAATTGAGAATGTAAGAAAGTTGATGCTGTACAAGGCAAATAAAACCGTTCATTAACCCTGATATAGCCTGCTCTTGCATTCTTTGTTGAGGGAATGAAGCTAAGGGAGGCCACACACACAGCCCTCAATTTGGACTTGATCCACTCCGTGGCATTGCTGGTTTTGCTGGTGGCTTCAAGGCATGGCCTCTGCAGAGGCACCAGAAGGAAGTCTTTGCTTTTTGATTCTCACGGGAGACTGGCTGTATCACTGCCGAGCAATCAAGAGTGGCTAGTGGTCATAACTCACTACAGAATACTTACCTTAGCATGAGCAAGACCTTAAAAGGGCGAGGGGGCAGGGCTGAGGATGTAATTCAGTTAATAGAGTGCGTGGCTGTTATGCATGAGAACCTGGGTTCAGTCCCCAGAAACTCCTAAGACCCAGCGTACTGGTTCATAGCTGCAATCGCAGTGCACGGAGTTGGAGGCAGAGGGATCCTTCCTTCCTTCCTTCCTTCCTTCCTTCCTTCCTTCCTTCCTTTTGTATTTTTGAGACAGGCATTTGTGTTTTGAGACACTGTAGCCAAGTATCTGAGGCTGTCTTGGAACTCACTGAGCAGAATTTCTGTCTCAGCATCTTGGATGTTGGGGCTACAAGTGTGAGCTATCACATCCAGAGATGGGGTCTACCCATCTACACTGTTGGGAAGAAACAACTGGGATATGGGAAAGGTTCCCTGGGCAGAATTACCCAAACTGTCCAATTGTACACCAGTTCATTTATTTTTAGTTTGGGGAAGGGGATGTGTAGAGTAGTGTGGTGTGGAATGTCCACTTGTTCAGTAAATACTTTTTGAGCACATGGCTAGACACTGTCCAAGGCCAGTGTTTTCAAAATCCTCCTCTACTGACCAAATCATATGATGTGTGTAAAAATCCAGAATGCTTGAAACTCTGAAAAGTGGGTGGGCTTAGGGGAAGTGACTCATCTAGTGGAGATGATAAGGCTCTTATCATCTAGGTGATAGCTAATTGGCTGGGACAGTTTGGAGTCCTGGGTAGGATGGGTAGGTAGTAACTCATCACTCGACCTTAAGGAACCACTCAGGAGTTTTCCATCAGGCTCGGGCTGGAGGCAGTGACTAAAGAATGGGGGGGTGGTGGGGTCTCCATCTTGCAAGGGCCATCACCACAGAAGGAGCAGCAGGAAAGGAGACATAAAGGGTTGGAGGGGAACCTTGGTCCTGCTTCTTCCTCTGGACGGCTGGGATCACAGCCCTGTACGCTGCCTCTCTGGTGTAGGCAGTGCTGGGGCTTGAACTCATTATGAACCTCCAGTAGGTTAGGCTGACACCGCCCAATGTGCTACATCCCCAGATGTGATAATTGCATTCAGAGTTAACTCTACAGTAAAAAAGGGCAGTTTGGACTGGTGAAATGGCTCAGTTGGTAACCGGTTGTTGCCAAGCCTGACGACCTGAGTTTAATCCCTGGGACTCACATGGTAACAGGAGAGAACTGACTCCTGCAGGTTGTTTTCTAACTTCCACAAGCGCGCGCACGCACACAAACACACACACACACACACACACACACACACACACACACACACACAATGTAAGAAGGGGGGTTAAGTTTAAAAAAGGGAAAAGAAAAGACAATTTCCTTGGGGTAACACAGAATTTTCTCATTTCCAAAGGGACTGGAAGATATCGCAGTGTTCCCAAGATCCTCAAAAGAGTACTAACCTGGGAATCACTGGGGTTAGTCTCCCATGTTGGGTACACTAGGGTCCATTGTGAGCCTCTCTTTACTTCCTGGTAATGTGGACAAGGCATTAGAACTTCCAGTTCTGGCCAGTTCCCACAGTCCATGATCTCTTCGGAAGCAGGCTGGAGAGTTAGGTGGATGGGACATTTTGGGTGAAAAGAAAGGTATGGTTGTAATACTGAGTAATGATTTTCCTTGTGGCAGGAAATTGTCTGAAATTTTTTTTGAGCAGAAGTGTCAATGTTGAAATGCAGCTAAGTCTCCAGCCTCCCAGACCAAAGTGGGAGCCCCCAGCAGGACTTGCACGAGGCTCATGCACACATCCCGTTTCAGAAGGCCACCTAAACCGTGAAGTTAGGAAATGCAAGCCAGGAGACTCAGCTAAGCATGCAGCTGAAGGTGCTGCTTCTTCCTCTCTCCTTCCTCTCGCCATCAAACACCCTCTCTCCCCCAGGGTCTCACTACATAGTGCTGACTGGCCCAGAGCTGTTCCTTATGATCACAACAGGTGATGCATTTCAGGGGGTGGTGGGAGGACACTCGCAGAAGTAAGGTTGGGTGCGTTTTAGCTCATCCTTCAGAAGGCACATGAGTGTGCTAGCTCCATTTAAGTAGGAGCTTGCCAGACATCTTCCTTGTAATCTTGCCACGTTTTCTCCTCCAGAATTAACAAGTAAATCTAAGTTTTCAAGCCAGAAGTCCGTGTTTGGGCAAGCTTATTTCTCAAGTGTGCTCTAAAGGCTGGTGGCATGCTTGGCCTTGGCATGGTCTCTGGTTGGGGATTTAGAAAATGGGGCTCTGGCCTAGGGCTCTGCCGCACACAGCAGCTTTCTGTCTCTCCTCACGAGGACAAAGAATTCTGTGCATGAATGCTTGCCTCAGAGCTGGAATACCATGAGCTGTTTACCAGCCTCTGAACCGCCCCGTGGCGTCAGGCAGCTTCAAGGGCCTCCTGAGGCTGAATGCTCCTTGCAGAGTAGCAGCCTTGTGCCCCAGCAAATGTGTGGGGGACGTTTTGCTGAGGAGGGTGGTTTCAGTTCCCCATAAATGCCTCTGGTTTTTTTCCACAACAAGTTTGAGGTCTGGCAGGCGGTGGAAGACTTTCCAGTAGGAGGGCTGAGATGGGAAAGGGTTACAGATGGAGAATCCTTCTTCTTCTTTTTTCTCTCTTTGGACAGACAGGTCCTTCTAGTGCACAGCGTGCTTTATCTCAGAACATCTCACCCTGTGTTCTCGGCTCCACCCAGGAAAGCAGGCACGACCCACTCCATCGCACAGTCCGGAGAGGCGAGGCTTTCATTTGTGAACACAGCAGTGTGAACTCAGCTCAGAGCCTGGAAGGGGTGACCCTGCCTAGGGAATTCAAAGCTTTTAGACTTTAGAAGCAAATTGCTTTTCTTTCCTATGATAGTTTCCTAAAGGAAGGGGGCTTAATTTTGAGGAGGGGGTCATGAAGAAACACGAAGTGTCTCTGGAAATCTCTTGGATCTTACACATTTTCTCATCTCTGAAAGTATTAAGGTACTACTAATAAAAACTAGAGCCAAGAATGATGGACCACGCCTTTAACCCCAGCACCAGGCAGGTTGAGCTCTCTGATCAAGGCCAGCCTGGTTTACACAGTGGGCTCTAGGTGAGCCAAGGCTACGGGGTGAGACCTTGTCTCAAAACAAAGAAAATAAATAACAAAACCCAAATAACTGGGGCTGGAAAGGTGACTCAGTAGTTAGGAACATCCACTGCTCTTGCAGGTGACCTAGTTCAGCACCCGTATGGCCGTCTGTCACCACCCGTCATTCCAGTTCCTGGGGATCTGACACCCTTCAGCCTTCCCGAGACGCATGCATTTATACAATGCACACACACTCATGAAGGTTCACAGACATATACATAAGTCAAAACTTTAAATCCTGAATCCTGGGGCTAGAGAGATGGCTCGGTGGTTAAGGGCACTTGCTACTTCTCTGGAGGAGCTGGGTTTAGCTCCTAGCACCCACAAGTCAGGTCACAACGATCCAAAACTCTAGTTCCAGAGGATCTGAAACCTGTTCTGACCTCGTATGGCACTGGACACACATGTGGTATATATACGTGTATTCAAGCAATACACTCACACACATTAGAGAAATTTTAAAAACCAGCTATCAAATGCCAGGCAGTGTGGCACGCACCTGCAATCCCAACACTCTGGAGGCAGAGGCAGGTGATCTCTGAGTTTGAGGTTAGCTCCAGGACAACCAGAGTGACACAGAAAAACCCTGTCTCGGGAGAAAAAAGCTGTCAGTTCTGTGGGTTCCTATCTCTAGGACCCTGGGTAACCCATCAAAACTCTGTGTCAAGAGGCTGGGGATATAACTTGTTGGTAGAGTTCTTGCTTGCCATGCTCAATCCTCAGGACCCAGGTTAGGAGAGGTTGTGTCTATAAGTTGGAAAGAAGGGAATGGTGTGGTATTTCTCTTACAGCATTGTGAGAATGATTGTGAAATAACATACATATTTTCTTCCTAAAACTCCAGCTTCTGTTGCATGAAAAATTAACATACGGCGTGCTCGGGATATAGTAAATATTGCATGAGCTATTCCTATGAACTGCTTGCTAACTCTGTGTTAAGTTATGTTACACACAACTCCATGAGGTGGGTACTAATTTTGTGCTGAATAGACAGGTTCAGACATTCTCACTGGAGTATATTCTGAGAAGCCCCATGAATTTATCAGCGTGTTGTTTCTACGACCAGGAAAGCTGGGTTAGTAAACCGTGTTCCAAGGCTTGGACCAGAGCTGGGGGAGGTTTTCCTAGCAGGGAGGCAGCAGGAGTGAAAGCGAGGAGTGAAGGAGGGAGGCTCAGCAGGGCGAGGCTAGGAGGAGCAACAGGAAGGGTGGGAACTCGGAAATCTGAGGCCCCAGCGGCACGCGTGTCAGGATCAGCCCTAGAAGGCAAAGACTGAGCAGTGAGGCCTTGACCCAGGCTTGGCCTCCTGGGAAGCTGTCAGTCTCTTCCTTAGGCCTCCTACCCGGTGCTAGTCCCAGTCTTTCCTTCTATCCAGCTTTCACTCTTCCGTGGTACTAATGAGCAAGAGACTACAAGGGACCTGAATGTATTAGTTAGCCCCGCCCTCTGGTTCCCAGATCCCCGCACCCGCCCTTGAGGATGGAGCATTGCTCTGGCCAATCTGGGGCCCTGGGAGGCTGAGCCCCGGTTCTGGGGGAGGGTCTGGAAGGGGGGGCTTGCACACAGGGATTGGGAAGAGGAGAGAGTTGCCCCCAAGCGTGGTGTTTCACCGCATATCTCTGCACCTGCCATGCTTGC